AGCTGTCTATGTCTCCTCTCAGCTCTTGCTTCACATATGTTGGAGCTCTGCTATTTAGTACATACATTTAGGATCAGTATATCTTTCTGACGGATTAATCCTTTTATTATTATGTAATGATCCTTTTTATCTCTAGTAATTCCTTTGCTTTAAAAATTTTATTATTGTTTTTATGATATATTGTTTTCTATCCTCTTGCTTTCAACCTACTTTCATCACTGAATTTGAAGTGAGTTTGTATTTAGACCATTTGCATTTATTGTAGTTATGATAGGTTCCTGTTTATGCCTTTTTCCCTCCTCCCCCCCAACGCCCTCCCAGTTTGTTTCCTATGGTTCTTATTCCTCTCTCTTCTTACCATTTCTGACTTACTTAAACATTTTTTAGGATTTCATCTAGACTTATGCTATTTTTGAGTATATCTCTTTTTATATTTTTTGTAGTAGTTGCTCTGGGTATTACAATATTCATATATTGCTATTAGTAACATTTTACTGCTTTGAGTAGTATGAGTAAAATGTGGAGGCATCATTTCCATTTAGATAGGTCTCTTTTCTTTCTCAACCTTTAAATATCATTGTCTGGAATATCAGATGAAGTTATAGTTTTGTTTTACTTATCAAATATTATCCATAAAACTCATGGTGAAAAGAGCTTGTTTTATGTAACCATATTTCTTCCCTTTTCTTTGTTTTTTTCTTCCCTCCCGGTGCTACAAGATTCTTTCTTTCATCATTTTCTTTCTGTTTGAATTTTTCTTAGTTAAAATTTAAAGATAAGTCTGATAGTGGCAAATTCTTTTCGTTTTCGTTCATTTCAGTTTGTCGTGATTTCCCCTTCTTTCCTGAAGGATAGTTTCACTAAAGTTCACAATTGACACTTCTCTTTCTTTTCAGCACTCCAACAATATGCCACTTCCTTTTGGCATTTATGGTTTCAGATGAGAAATCTGTTGTTACATGAATTGATTATCTGTCAGTGTAGAATACTATAATAAAAATCCCATAGAATTGGTGGCATATAAACAAGTTAAATTTGTTTCTCCGAGTTCTAGAGGCTGGAAATCAATATCGGGATGCCAGCATGGACAGTTTCTGGTGAGGGTCCTCTTTTGGTTGAAGATTGCCATCACCTCATTGTACTCTCACATTTTGGAAAGTGTACAAGAGAGCTCTTTTATAAGAGAGCTTTCTAACATCTCTTCCAAGGCACTAATCACATTCTTAAAGGCCTCACCCTTATGACTTAATGACCATCCAAAGATTCTCACCTAATAATACCATCAGCTTGGGGATTAGGATTTCAACATATGAATTTGGGGAAGACGAAAACAGTCAATTCATAACATTATTTATATCTCTTCCTTTGTTAGTAGAGTGTTGCTTCTCTTTGGCTGCTCTCAAGATTTTTTTCCTGAATTTTGGTTTCCAAAAATTTTATTGTATGTCTGATGCAGATTTATTTTGTTTCAAATCTGCTCAGCTTCTTCATTCTGTAGGTTTGTGTTATCACCAAAATGTAGGAAATTTTCAGGCATGGTTTCTTCAAATACTCTTTTGACTCCATTCTTTTTTTCCCCCTCTCTTCTTTTGAAAATCTGATGATGGAAGTATTAGATTTTTTGTTTTTGTTTTACAGGTAATGAACCTTTGCTCAAATTTTTTTCATTCTGTTTTATTAGTTTTTCAGATAGAGTAACTTTTATTCATCTGCTCTCAAGATCACTGATTTTTATCATATTTTTTCAACTACTTTTGGTTTTATTTTTATTAGTATTATTATTACAGTATTTTTAATTCTATATATTTTTAATTTGGTTCCTTTTATGGTTTGTATTTTTTGCTGAGATTTTTCTATTTTTTAATTTGTTTCAAGAGGAATTAATAGTTGATTGGTAAAACATCTTTATTTTAATTGACAAATAATTATATATGCTTATTATATGTATTATATAGTACATATAAAATAGTACAATGTGGTATTTTCATACATGTATACCTGGTGGAATGATTAAATCAAGCTAATTAGTTTATCTGGCATCTCAAATATTTATGATTTCTTAGTGGTGAAAACATTTGAAATTCTTTCTGTCAGCTAATTTGAAATATATATTATTATTAATTATAGTCACCATGCTGTGTAATAGAACACCAGAGCTTATTCCTTCTATCTAGCTAAAACTTTGTACATTTGATCAAAGTCTCCTCTTTCCCTCTGCACTCCCTGCCCTAGCTCCTAGTGACCACCATTCTACCCTCTACTTTGATGAGTCTGCCTTTTTAGATTATACATATAGGTAAGATCATACGATACTTGACTCTCTATGCCTGGCTTATTTCACTTAACATAATGTCCTCTAGGTTCACCCTTGTTGTCACAAATGACAGCATTTCCCGGGTTTTCTAAGGCTGAATATTATTTTGTGGTGTATATATACCACATTTTTTAATCCATTCGTTTGTTGATGGCTGATAAGGCATTTTTATAAATGCTTCTTTATAAATGCTGCTTAATGCTTGTCAGATATCTCCAGCATTTGATTCTTCTCAGTATTGGCATCAGCCAATTAGCTTTTCTAACTGAAGCTGTGATTTTATTGGTTCTTAGTGTGACAGGTAATTTTCAGTTATATCATGGACAACTAGTCTATTATATTAGGAGATTCTATGTCCTATTTGAATCATTGTTTTAGCAGTCAGTCATCTTATTTATACTTAGCATACAGGTCTTTGCCTAGTCTTGTGGCTGTGGTTTCAATAACTTCTTGCTTTTAAGAGATTTTGTGGTATTCCTTTGGTCATTTGGCTTTTCCTGGTGCTATTGGGACTGGACACTGGTTCCTGCTGGGCTGCCTGATCAGGTAAAAGGGGTTCTCTTTGTGTGTGGGATGTCTACTAGATGAAAGTTGTGGTAGGGTTCCTCTTACTGGTGTTCTTCAATTCCTTGATATCTCTGGACAGGGAAAGGGAATCTCAGGTTCATGGGTTCAAAGAAGCTTTCAGAGCCTGGCTACTTACTGTGAAAGAGACGTTCTTATCAGTTCTGCCCACTAGTCCCATGTCTGTGTGGGGTGGGGAAGGAGCGTCTCATTCCCTCAGAGACAAAGAGGATCCATCACACAGCCACTTATTTTGACTGGGTCCTTCAGGCCAATTCTGCCACATGCCCTACTATCTCTAGGTGGAATGAAAGAGTCTTGTCCCAGGGGAATAAAGTGACCCTGGACCGGGCCTCTTGCTGTGTTCTTATTGCGAGTTCCTCTTTCCACCTCACTATCTCTTGGTAGGAGAGAGGAGTCTCAGGATCATTATTATTCATGCAGCTCTCCATCAATCACCTTTGCGGATAGTGTCCACTTACCTGATACTGTCACAGGGGCTCCCTTTAGCAATTAGAGAGGAATGAGTCTGTCTGGGGTAATATTGACAGCCTAGGGTCAGAAAATGCTGGTCTGGTTAATTTTCTTCTGTTGGGGAGGTACAAAACTCCCTGCCAGCATTTTTTCTCTAATCTTAGGATTCCAAACCAATTTGCCTTTTTTTTTTTTTTACCAAATTTTTAGAATTATCTTTGAGCTGTCTCTTGACCTATGTCAGTTTATAGTTGTGTTTGGCAGGGAAGAATAGAGAGGAATGAGTCCATGCCATCTTGCCCATACCCAAAGCCCAACAGTACATTAATGAGTATACATTGACTCATGCCTGTAATCCCAGCGCTTTGGGAGGCTGAGCGGGGAGCATCACTTGAGGCCAGCCATTAAAGATCAGTGTGGACAACATAGTGAGACCCCATCCCTACAAAATTATTTTTTAATTAGCCAGCCATGTGGGCCTGCACCCGTAGTCCTGGTTATTCAGAAGGCTCAGGTGGGAGGATCACATAAGCCCGGGAGTTTAAGGTTACAGTGAGCTGTGATCAGGCCACTGTACACAATCCTGAGTGGAAGAGCAGGATCTTATCTCTAAAAATAAAAAATAAAAATAAATTTCCATACTATTGCTAATATATTCTTTTTTATCCCTTTATAATTTTCTCCCCACTCCAAAACACTAAATCAACAAACATACTCTGTGACCTTAAAAACTATAACAATCAAATGTTTTCCATTAGCTTTTTAAGAAAATATAATTTTGATTCTTATGTAGGTATAAAAAAATAATGAAAACTTAAAATTCTGGCCTGAATAAGATTGCTGAGATTATTCAGCTACATATAGAAACCATTTACATATGGAAATGTATTATTTTTAAAAGCTTAACCTGCCAAATTAAAATATTACAAAAAAAAGAGCTTACTAATCATGCCTCTAAATTCATTATCATTTAAATAGCATTTGTTAGTCCTAAAATGTTGGAGGACATATTTCATTCATTACTAAATGTCAACAAGTGATGTAAAAATCTACTATCTTTAAGAAAGAATCAGAATTAAACAAGAAATGTAAGAAAAAGATTAATTGTTATTCTTTAAATGAATAAGAAAAGATTTTCAGTTTAGCGCTTTGGGACACCAGTACACTGAGTGACTTTATGCAGGATTGCACCCTAAGCAAACTAGGACATATGCCTTTCTGAGGCAGTTATACTCAAACTCTAATTTCAACTTCAAAATATAATTTATTGTATTAGTCTGTTCTCATGTTGCTATAAGGACATACCTGAGACTGGGTAATTCATTAAGGAAAGAGGTTTAACTGACTCACAGTTCAGCATGGCTAGGCAAGCCTCAGGAAGCTTACAGTCATAGCGGGTGGGGAAGCCAACACATCTTTCTTCACATGGTGTCAGGGAGAAGAATGAGAGCTGAGCAAAGGGGGAATTTCCTTATAAAATCATCAAATCTAGTGAGAATTTCCTCACTATCACGAGAACAGGATGGAGGAATCCAACCCCCTGACTCGATTATCTCCACCTAGTCCCTCTCATGACATGTGGGAATTAGGGGAACTACAATTCAAGATGAGATTTGTGCAGAGATGCAGCCAAAACATATCACTTATCAAGACTATTCTTTCAGAGATCACTTTTTATGCTTTGTTACTAGAAGTTTCTCTGAACATGTACAGCACCAGAAACTGTGAGGAGGGAGCACAGTGTTGTCTCCTAAGCATGAAGTCAGCTCTCTGTGTTATGTTGCTGCAACTGACACTTGGTATTGATGATTATTCTTTCCCTCCCTCAGAAGAATAAGAGGGGGAGGATGAAGTCTGAAAGGTAATTATTTAAATTAACTAATTCATTTAATGCAGTTTATCAAGTAACAATATTTAGAGATTAAAATGCAAATTTGTTTCTACGGTCTATAGAAGATTCGTATTCCAGTTTTTTACAGAAGGTTGTCATTTTTCTGAGTATTCACAATCAATATTCCTTGGTTTATACAGTCTATACATCTAGTAATCAGATATATTACTTAAAACATTTTTAAATTTTAACTTTCTTTGACATTTTAATATTTTCATCAGGAATTTCATTTCCCTAGATAAGATACCTTTCGTTATGAAATTGTGCTTTTTCAGCTCATTTGAAGGTAGCACTGTGTCTGAAGTTTAGGAAAATTACTGAAGATAAGGATGTTAAAAAATACATCAACATACAACAGAATAGCATATAAATTTTTTTTAAACTAAAATGACATTAAAAGAGAGTGGAAGTTTTAAAATATATCTACAAATTCTTTGACATGCCTTCCTTTAAGAGATGGAGCTTCATTCCCCTCTTGCTGAATGTTGGCTGGATATAGTGGTTTTCTTCTATCAAATAGACTATGAAAAAATGATGGTGTGTGACCTTCAATATGAGTTCATGCAAGGCCTTGGGTCTGACTCTTCCCTCTCTCTGGGATCACTTGCTCTGGGGTGAGATATTAATAGATACCATGTCATGAGAACACTCAAGTAACTTCATCTGGAAGTCCATATGGACAGGAATGGATGCTTCTTTTCAAAACTCACCAAGGAATCAATGCCTTCTGCTGATAGTCATGTAATTGAATCATCTAGTAAGTGGATCCTATAGCTACAGCTCCAGTGAAATGTTTAAGATGACAGTAACCCCAGCCAATACCAGGGTTTGACCCTCAGCCAGAACCATACAGCTAAGCTACCTTCGCCTTTTTGACTCACAGAAATGTGAGAGAATGTTTGATGTTTTAAACTCCCAAGTATATGGATAATTTGTTATGCATCAATAAATAACTATTACAAATACCTTCCCTTACAGACCTTGACAAAAGATCTCATCCTTTGATGTCCAGAAGTAAACATGAACTGACATATGATAAATTCTGGAAACATTCTCGGAAGCAGAACTCCTTGCTTTTGACAAACCCAATGACCCCCAATCTACTCTACTCATATCAGCTCACCAGTATCTTTACTTCAACCCACTCTCTTATGATTTCTTTCTCATCCAGACTGGCAATATTAGAATAATAAATCTAGTTCAATTTTGCTTAGATAGACCTAAATCAGGCAAGCTCTCATATTTCGTGTTTTTGGTTTTTCAATGAGATTCTACAACAGGGATGTCTATTTCCAGAAATCAGATAGCTAACTTTTCACTCACAAATAAGGTATTTTTTTTCATTTCCATACTTCTGAATATTCTTGTTCTGACCTTGAAATAGAATTTCTATATACCTGTTGTCATTTTATAGAAATTGTTTTAATTTCGTATCTAAATACAAAAAGAATGATCTGTATCTTAACATTCTGTGTTTGAACATATCAGCATATTCACCTTTTAATATAAATATTTCAGTAAAAGTTAATGGCAAATTATCTGGAGCCAGCAAACCTGCTGAGTAACTATTAAGGCAAAAACTGGGAGGCAAATAATGGCTTCCTAAAGTAGAGTCTTGAGAGTGACATAATTCTGTCAATGGTCAAAATGTCTTCTCAGAAATCCCGCTGTTACGGGCAAGGAACTCCCAGACAGAATATCCTAAGAGTAATATTAACAACCCCAGTCAAATCGACTTTCATTATGTCTTCCACCTAACTCCTCTACGTTTTTTTGTTTATTCCAGAGTGGCAAAAGCTTTATGACATACTAGGGTAGATATTCTTAGAGGAAAAAATAAACTTCATATTTCTTTTTAAAATAGATAACGTATTTCTTCTGCTGCTTATTTCACTAATGTTATTTGGATTGGCCAGCTACTGCGCATTTCATGATTCTTTTTTTCTAGGATAAGTTGTTTTAACTTCAAACTTGGAGGGTTTTTAAAAGAAAAACTGAAAACTACATTTTACTAAAAGGGTATGGGAGGGATTGATTGTTTCAAATATCCAAGTTATTGATAAAATACTTTTAAAGAAAATAATGGTTATATTTAATTACCTTTCCAAATTTTACAATACTCCAAATGGTGGTCAAACACAAAAATAAAATGTTTGTGCAAGTCCCATTCTGTCTTCAAGCAGCATACAGCAATGCTGGAATGTATTATGATAGAATTAATAAATCAGAGCGTGTCATTAGGAAAAGCTCCCTGAAAGTTGATTTGAATATCACCTCAGTACTAAATTGGAAGAAGGTACAACCAGAAACCCAAGTTTAAAGGTATAGTGACATTTAAAAATTGCTAAAATGAGGTATTGTGGCAATGTCAAATTAAGATGAACAATATCGCCATCACCGGAATCACCCTTGACACCTAAGTCTCCACTGTTTCCCTGGTGTTACCAAGTCATGACAATACCAGCTCCTGTCTTCTACTGAGAACGAACATTTCCATAGGACTGACAACTGATCCTCAGGAATCCAAAAGGAAATATCAAGTAGGTGTTACTTATCCACATGTGAGGCTTCCAGGAAGACCTGGGGAATTTGTAAGGCTCAATATTGCTGGAAATTCACTTAATGCACTCTGTCCTTCTCCCCAGTGTCTACACAGGAATGATTTAGGGATACAGGTTGCCATGTCTTGATTTAGAACTAAGATCTTAATCACAATAAAACCCCTGCCTTGGCAGACCTTTCCTGTTATCTTCACGAAGACCTCACCATAACAGGCACTCCATTTCTCACAATTCTCACAGAGCTGCCTTATGGTTTTTCTGAGCAGCCATTCTCCTTTTGGAATTTGCATTTAGACCAATTGGAGATAAGATCTGGTGCTTTGGGGAGCAGGTGTTAAGAGACCCAACAAAAAGTAGAGCTGTCTGAGAGCCGTAGAACGGTGTAGGCTGAAGCAATCAATTTTATTGCAGTACACTGCTTCTCTTGCTACTAACAGCTGCTGGGAGGATAGCGGGAAAGCTGCCCCGCTGAGCAGATTTGAGTCAGAGCATGGAAAATCCACCTCATTTCCAAGCTGAGGGGTCCCACATTAAAAGACCATAAAGTTAAAGTCATTTAAATAGTAGCTCCAGGGACACATTAATTTTGCCTTCTTACAAAATGTCTGTTAATATAGATCTCAAAGACAAGTTACTTGTCATTTTATTTGACGCAACATAGAAGGTTTTTACATTTGTTTACATGCCTCAGACATTTGTGTTGACTAACACACACATACACACACACACACACACACACACACACACACACACCAGTTTGATTACATGAAGAAAAAGAGCATGCCATCACTATTTATATATGTGGAAGCCACTATCTACATATAGCTAGCACTGGCAATTTGAAATCTTTGCAAAACATTTAAAGTACTGAAATGAACATTTCATCATTTCTGTTGGGGAAAAAAAAACACAATTTATTGCCATACATATTGCTGCAAACTTGGTGAAGCTTTAAATTTTCTGTATTGTTGATTTTGGAACATTTCTGTCCTGGAGGAATGCCTTAGAGGAGCAAATATGAAATATAAATTGGTCTTTGAGAATTCCGCTGAGTTAGATGGCTGGATGCATGTCGACTTGTAAGTACAGTCTTCATGGAAAGACCTGATTCAGGGTTGACTGTTCCTGCTGCTGTCAGTTGGACGTTTCCTTGCAGGATCCCTTGAGAGATGAAGCTTATGGGTGCCATACTGTAACTTTAAACTACTTGGGGGAAAAAAAAGGAGAGGGTGGGATTAAAAATATGTCTGGCAGCTCAAGGGTCTGGTTTGAATGCCAAGTAGCAGCTGAGACAACTGTGTTATAGCTTTACATTCCCAAAGGGAAGGAATTTTTTTTAAGATAGCCAGGTTCTTGTCTACTTCTTTTGAGAATAGATAATGCAATGCTTCTCAACAACATAATTATTTTTGAGTTTTAAAACTAATGTATAGCAATGTTTCATATCTAAGGCAAATTAAAAGACTTAATTTGTAATCAATGTGCCTGGCTAAATGGAATTATATAAATCTGGCTATGTAATGTGCAAGTTACTAATGTCGCATCCATATACTGCTATGATGGATAAAATATCTAGATTCTTGTGTTGAATTATTATAGTACTTTGTTCAGTAGGCAATTTTTTACAGGATATTTCTGTGTTCCCACAATGTAAAAACATCAGCATCATTTTATTTTAAGCAATCATATTCATCAAATTATCAAAGCCATTGATATTAAATATTTAAATAGAAAACTAGAAGCTCATCAAAATAACCAGCTGATTTACATATATGATTACATGATAGTTATAAGAAATAGAATACTGCAAAATAAATTTTATTCACATTTTACAATTAAGAAAAGTTGAAGTCAGGTATAATCTTTTTTAAAAATCAACTACTATGGTGTTTAGAAATGTATGTGATACCTCAAATGAAATTTTTCCAAATTTTATTTCAATTTTCAGTTGCTTTGTTGCTTTATTATGACGCAACTGATTTGTCTGTCGGATTTGAACAGTTTGCCTAGGTGGAATCTTAGTAATTTCATTCCAAAAAAGAAAATCAAGTAGTTATTTTAATACATACTCTGCTTTCCAGCTTTGGAACAGCAATTAGAATTTCCAACAGAGGATACTTCACTTTTAAAAACACATATCAGCTTTTTGAGAGCACCCTGTTTAGGGACGCTTCTCCTGGAAAACACTCTGATGTGATGTCTTTGGGCAAAAGAGGAATTATAAGAACTTGCTACCAACAGGACCTGGGGATTGCTCCATGAAGGATGTCAGCATTCGTTCATCTACTCTGGCCATCTGTCCTTGTCTTTACTTCTCTTTATATCTGCCTGTCTCTGAGTCTGTACCTCATCAGCAAGGCAGCAGCTGCTGGACTGTCTTGCTGAAGATACTGAAGCCTCAAGCCTGAAGC